AGAATAGGGCATTCTAAGTCAATATACTGCAGTATTTCCTCTCTCAATCAGTAGAAAATATGGTTAACACCCGGTCATGCATGAAAAAAAAAAAATACCGTCATGTACCGTGAAACCGGTATAATTTTGAAAAATACCGTGATATAAATTTTTGGTCATACCGCCCAGCACTAATAGGTAGGTAGAGGACAGAATGGGATTCAGGGATCTCCTCAGAATGACTGCAGCAGAATTTGAGGTCCTGCTCACAAAAGTAGCACTATTAATTACCAAAATAGACACCAAAATTAGGCTTGCCATCACTGCCAAGGAGAGGCTTGCCATTACTCTGCGATTTTTGGCAACAGGTTTGAAAATACATTATATATATATATATATGTATATGAGCAATATCACTCTCGTACTCGAGCGATACCGGCTCTATATCAGCGGCTGTGATTAGGCCAGAGGCATGAGGCCGCAGTTTTCACACACAGGTCCAGATATTTAGCTTGCCAAATATCTCACGGGCATCAGTGACATGTCGTGACTGTCGCTCGTATGAACAAGCACCAATTTGGCTCCAATTTGTTGCAATTTTCACAAAACTTTTAGCAATTGAAAATCAGAGCAAAAATTGTGTGTGCGGCGCCCAGCATATTTCTGTCAGAGAGCTCTCGGATTTCATCAGAAATATCTTAATTTGTGTTCAGAAGATGAATGGAGGTCTTACGGGATTGGAACGACACGAGGGTGAGTAATTAATGACAGAATCTTCATTTTTGGGTGAACTATCCCTTTAATCAGGTTAGTTGAATAGATGAATTGAAGGCAGATGAAGTCTGGGATAGACTAGCACACACTGTATAAAGGTCCTAGATCGTGCTATTTTCACAACTTACAACTTTTTGTAAAAACTGTTTATTGAAAGTTTTTTTTCTTGGTAGTAAGACGTTTTGCCATCTGAACTTTCGTTATGTTGTTTTGTTTTATTTTTATTATGTAGCCTTGTTTTTACGCCGTCAACATTTAAATATGTCGCTACCCTGACTAAGGTCTACTACATTTTTATTTATTACATTTATTGCTATTACATTTCTATTACATGTTGGAATGAGATCTCTTAGGAAAAAATATCAGAATGTGTAAACATTTTTTACATCTTTATTACAACACAAACTCTTCAGAATATTGTTAAGTTATTATTCTCGGTAATGCACAAATCTTTATATTCTCTTTGTTTAAACTCGTAGAAATGTTTTCTCTGCTGTTATTTACTTACTAATCTATTTATTTGGAAATATCACTGTGCCACCCTCTGGCTGCATTATGCAAGGACACTTTACCTCTGCCAAAATTACATCACCATGCGTTCAGCAAAAAATTAAGTAAAATTTGCAATACAATTAATCATAATCTATTGCTAAAACCCAGAATCTGCCCTACCTGAATGTAAAAAAAAAACCTTTAAATATTTGCTGTGCCTAATTGTATAAATGTTTTTTTCTCTTGTGTTTATTTTCTACATTCTATTCAACCAAGTTGGTGCCTTTTTTAAATATAGCATATTTTAACTGAATAAAAAGGTTTGTAAACAGACAATAGGATGGGGGTTGGAGGGGATTCCGGGGCTTGTTTGTGGTGAATGACACGGGAGGCGGGGCTTGTCTGTGGTGAATAACACGGGAGGCGGGGCTTGTCTGTGGTGAATAACACGGGAGGCGGGGCTTGTGAAGCGCTGATGGATCGAATCAAACAGCTGAGAACGTGCGTGTAAAGCCTGAGGGCACGCAGCATTAGATGCATTGAAAGAAGAAACGCAGGGACACAGCAGCGCGTTACAACATTTACCCACGAAAACCAAGCTTCTGCGGCACACACATGAAAGATGGTTTGATGAGGACGCCTGGTATTTGATTTCTCTGTCACATCTGATGAACAGAGCGCGGAGCAGCCACAAAAGCAGCATTTTGTCACGGTTTTTATTGTTGATGTTTGGCCTCGCTTATTAACTCCCGACTAAACGAACGATTTAGGGAGAAAATCAAATAGCCATTTTTTAAATAGCGCGAAGTGGAAGAACTGCGCGAGCCTTCGCCGTGAAAATCAACTGCAGGAGCAGAAATGTGAGCATTTTTCACGCGACCAGCGACCACATCTGATGCTTAATCGATAAAGGTACGTACGCGTACTCTGCATTGATTAATAATGCATGCAAAAAAAAGCAGTTTTATAATAATGTTTTTTTACGTGCTTTAAAGGGAGAAAAATTGGATCTGAGCAAATGCAGAAAGGGATGATTTGAAATATTATCAGTCAAATTAATTGGCATCAATGCACTGAAACCAGTGACATGTTTAATTAACAGGAGCGGAAAACATTCATAGCCAACCATTGAAAGCGTGTTTCGTGCATTTAATTCGATCAGCCATGTTTTTTGTGTCTCAAGTCCTGCATCTTGAAGATTTGGCATGCTGTAGGGTTGAGCTTACTTGGCAAACTTAACTCTCCAAGAACTGATGGAATGATGGCATTATATTTGCTGTAATAAACCCCAAACAATCCTCTGTCAACAACAACAACAAAATGCACCATTGCTGTTATTTATATTCACATATTTGGAAAAACATCAATAATTTTAACATTTAAAACTATATAAAAATGAAAATGTATACAAAATAAGACTCAAAATGAAGTAATGTATACTGTTTTTTTTATTATTCGTAATGATTTCGCACCAGAAAGAAACTGTGTATGAAAAAAGTTGTATTTCATTAGCACACATTACATTTTTTGCATGTCCTTCTTACTAATGACTATAACCTTATATTACAATTTATAACCCACACAACTATCATAGACATACTATTACCATGATAGTCTTCGTTAATCTAGACAAACTTTGCATCATTAAAAGGATTTAGGAATCTCGCTTCAATAAGGCCTTTCGCACTGTGGGAACCTTTTCATAGTACCAGAACTAATTGTGGAACTACCCACTTTTTGGCGTTTTCGCACCGCCGGAACTGGGAGCGATTTTAGTACCGGACTGCCTTTTTCGAGAACCAAATTAGCTCCTACTCCGGAGCAGGGTCTAACCAGCACAACTGGTACTAATCGTGACGTAAGTAGACGTAAGTAGACATTGATTGGCAAAACGCCCTCACCCGCCATGATTTAAAACGCAGTGTAAACATACTGTAAACATTGTGTCAACTTATTTCGCAAGTATGGAGAACAGTAATAGATGGACGGACACTGAAGTGCAGGCACTTGTAGCAAATGTAGCACTGCCAGTTGTCGTTGGAGATTCTTAGTCCTCCTTTCCGTTCTTTCAATCGCTTTACGTATACGTCGACTTTCCATGTCCATTATTGTGAAACCCGCGAGACACAACAAAAACAGCTCCGATCACAGCGTCCTCCATCCTCCTGTTGTTAACGTTGTTCTTCTTTGTTTCCGTTGTTGAACGCCACGCACAAATGACGACGCTGTCGACCGGCTTATGTCACTTAGTACACACTCTCGGTGCGAATGCAACCCATTAAATGGTACTGGGAAATAGTTCGTGCAAAATCGTCCCAGTACTTTAGTACTGTACATTTAGTTCTGGAACTAAAGCAGTGCGAAAGGCCCTTCTAGTAGACTTTTTATAATTAATAGATTTCCTAAGTGCAAAATCAACATATCATCTTAACACTAATTATTAAGTCCAAACACTTGTGTAGTTGTTCATGACTCCAATGACTTCACTCCCGTTGGTAGTTGCTCCCAAAAGTCACTTTTCTCAACGTTGCTGGACACCCCAACATCCGGTCGCTGAATTCGCCAGCAAGTCAATGAGATCACGGTGCTTTGCTGCTGTTGGTGTAAACTGGGCTTAACTCACAAGGTTAATTGATCCACAGAGTGACAATATAATTGATGTGACCTGCAAATGAGCAATAGAAAACTGACTGTGCAAATCGCCATTCCAGACTTTTTGATGCCCATACCTAAATCAGTCATTGGTCTAGATCAGGGTTCCTCAAATCTTGCGCTGGAGGGCCAATGCGCTACAGAGTTTAGCTCCAACCCTTATCAAACTCGCCTACCTGTGATTTTCTAATGATCCTGAAGACATTGATTAGCATGATCAGGTGTGTTTGATTAGGGTTAGAGCTAAACTCTGCAGGAAAGTGGATCTCGTGGGCCAGATTTGAGGATCCTTGGTCTAGATCAGGGGTGGGCAAACTTGGCCCTTCCAGGTCACTTTCCTTCAGAGTTTAGCTCCAACTCTAATCAAACACACCTGAACCAGCTAATCATTGTCTTCAAAACTACTAGAAAGCTACAGGCAGGTGAGTTTTTATCAGGGTTGGATGAAATCTCTGCAGGAAAGTGGCCTGGAAGGGCCGAGTTTGCCCATCACTGGTCTAGATCATTAGGGCCTTTCGCACCGCTTTAGTTCCAGAACTAAATGTACAGTACTAAAGTACTGGGACGATTTTGCGCGAACTATTTCCCAGTACCATTTAAAGGGTTGCATTCGCACCAACAGTGTGTACTAAGAAGTGACGTAAGCCGGTCGACAGCGTCGTCATTTGTGCACGGCGTTCAACAACGGAAACAAAGAAGAACAACGTTAACAACAGGAGGATGGAGGACGCTGTGATCGGAGCTGTTTTTGTTGTGTCTCGCGGGTTTCACAATAATGGACATGGAAAGTCGATGTATACGTAAAGCGACTGAAAGAACGGAAAGGAGGACTAAGAATCTCCAACGACAACTGGCAGTGCTACATTTGCTACAAGTGCCTGCACTTCAGCGTCCGTCCATCTATCGCTGTTCTCCATACTTGCGAAATAAGTTGACACAATGTTTACAGTATGTTTACA